ATGATGCATCTGGAGGCAAAGTTGTCTTTTCTGATTGAGTTTCTGAGAACTCTTCCTGCATACTAGGATAATTAAAAGATTTAATAAAGGCAGTGACAGCAGTGTCAAGGACACCAGGTGCTTTCTGGGCCCCTGAAAGTCCATGATACAGTGACAGTCAGAAAGATAATAGCAAGTAAAAGCATGCCAAGTACACTGCATGTTTTTTAGCACAGCCAATTCCAAGAGACAACCTTCCTTAAAGTTCCAGCCTCAACCCACAAAGAATCTCACACAGGCTTCATTAGAGATGGCGTGACAGGGGTGGAAAGAACCAGAGGGGGTTTTCAGTAAGAACTGTTTTATCTCTTGTGAAAATGGAAGAATTTCTTCCCCTGTGGTTAGGACCTGACACTTTCGAAATCAGAAGAGATTTTTCAGTAAGAAAGTACATCCTAAGAAAGGAATGATCAGAGAGTGGGGCTGAGGATAGACCTTAGTTCTTGCTTAGCATGTATGAAGCCCTGAGTTAAGTCCATGGTACCACATAAACCCAGGCATGGTGGCATGCCTATAATCCCAGCACTCAGGCCAGTTTGATGGCATAGGGAGTTCAAGGCCAACCTGGAGCAGAGACCCTGTCTACCCTGTCTCAAAAAAAAGAATTAATCATAGAGGCGCAGTGTCTGAGAAAGCTGTCAGGAGGATTAGGATGTAGGAGCTTACAGGCTTGTGTGTTTGTAAAGTGTGATCATTGAAGGAAGCATTCTCTTTCTGTAAAGTCAGAGCAGGGGAAGTAAAGTCTGTACTGTCCTGGAGCTGCAGTGCAGTTTTGGGAATATGACAGTGTCACCTTCTTTATAAGAGGTGGGAGGAAAAAAGCCTCTGTGATCACTGACTGACATGAACCCCTGAAAAGCTGCTCTTTAGAGTGCCAAGTCAGAGGAGCAGAGTCACTGAGGAGAGGGAAGACATCAGGCTCCGTTTACCTGGGGTCTGTCCTGTGGTCAGAGTGGATGACACAGGAGAGATTTCTGTCATGAGACGGGAAAACTGTGAGAGTGTCATAAGGCCGATAGCCCTGGGATACTGGCCTCTGAGATAGGGAAGGACTTGGGGTTTGGCCTTGGGCCTGAAGGGCACTGTGCTATTGGACCCCTGGTGGCAGCAGAAGTCAGTGAAGCTGGAATCTCATCTGTATCTTCTAGACTAATCTAGGATGTAAAATGTGGATTTTTTTTTTTTTTTCTGTAGACACGAGTATACCAGCGGATACTACAGAGAGTTACCGTATTTCTTTGGAAAACTGGTATCTGAGGTGGTCCCCAGGAGGTTGTTGCCAAGTATTTTATTTATTTGTATATTATACAGCGTAGCAGGTAAGTACTTAGATAGAAGGATCTGTCTTCAGTCTTGGGTATGAAGTGAGGTGTGTTTTGGTTCATACAGTTGTCAAGGAAGCCCACAGCAGGTCCCACTGTGCACTCTGAAATACCTGTCCAGTGTGAGTATTGTCACCAGGATTTGTTCCCAGCAGAACTAAAAAATTTTATGAAACTGTGTTTTTACTGGAAGACTCTTATACAAACATAGAAATAGCTTATAAGTCTGTTTGAAACTGTGCTATATATTATATACAAA